TAATTGACCCAATGCACATAATCCTTCAGAAGTTCCCTCCAAGTGACTAGCAATCAACATTCCTTTGAAGTTCATTCATATTTTTCAGGATGATTTTCAACATACATTCTTGACATCAGAAAATTAAAAACACACTTCTAGAATCCATAATTCAGAGACTAGATGGAAAACAGATCAATATTCTGTAATAATCTGTTCTCAAGATAGCATTAACAACTATATTATAATCTGATTATCAACAATTCATCTGTTACCGTCTTTCAGAAGTGCACTGCACAATTGCATAGAATCATAGAATAATTTGGGTTGGAAGAGACCTTTAAAGGTCACCTAGTCCAACCCGCCCCTGCACTGAACAGAACTAGATCAGGTTGCTCAGAGCCCCTTCCAGCCTGACCTTGAATGTTTTCATGGATGGGGCATCTACCACCTCTCTGGCTAACCTGTTCCAGTGTTTCACCATCTGCATTGTAAAAAATATCTTCCTTAAGTTTAGTCTAAATCTACCTTCTTTTAGTTTAAAACCGTTACTTCCTGTCTGATCACAACAGGCTCTGCTAAAACCTCTGTCCCCATCTTACAAGCCCTTAAGTGTAGAAAGGCCACAACAAGGTCTCCCTGGAGCCTTATCTTCTCTAGGTTGAGCAACCCCAACTGTCTCAGCCTTTCCTCACACGAGAGATATTCCAGCCCTCTGATCATTTTTGTGGCCCTCCTCTGGACCTTCTCCAACAGGTCTGTGTCTTTCCTATACTGAGAACTCCAGAGCTGGATGCAGTACTCCGGGTAGGATCTCAAAGTTATTAAGAATAACAGAGTTTATTACAACAGCATTACTTCAAAATAACAGAGATGACTATCACTTTAGTCCACACAGGAATAATCAAAGAAATCACAAAAGTCTTGAGGAAAAGTATCAATCTCATTCCTAGTTTAGCTCTCCATGGTTTTCAGTGAAAAAAAAGCTATGACACCAAGATTCACTTGCCCTTCCCCAAAACATTAGGTTCATTAATATACATTTCTCTGTAAAACATTGTCATTAAGAAAATTAAATAGACATCTATGGAAAATGATGTGGGAACTCAAGAGTTGCTGCTTCTCATTCAAACTTCCATCATTAGATTTTAGTCTTCATCTACTTCCTGACTCTTACCCTTAAGTCTACATGATACTTCCATATGTTTATTTCTGAAAGCATATACTCTAACTCTCACCACAGTGCTTTAATTTGCCTGCTGTGGTAGAAGCCTGTAAATTCACCATACAGCCTCTAATCAAATCCCCACCTAAACAATCTCCTTATTTTGAACTCATGTAAATACACAAAATTAAAATGCGAACAAGTGTATTGTATCACCTGTAAGTCTACAAGAAGCAGCATTCTCCAAAAATCATATTTTATGGAGGAAAACTATCCACCTATCTTCCAGTCATGATTCTTTTCCATTTCACAAATATTTTTATTTTTATTTACCATTATTATATTATAAAAATGGTTATTTTTATTACCATTCTTACTGATTAAGAAGCTCTAAAAATCTGAGTTACAAAATGTTATCATGTGTTTCTTTGTAAATTGTCTATATCTCGATTTACTGATATAAACTTTGTTTACAATTAAGCACACCTAATTTTTTCCTCATCAATCTGCACCTGAGCCTGTAAGTTCCTGTTCACATGTGTAAACTTCTTAAATTTCTCTAACATATCATTTTAGCACTCTAGTGAAAAAAAAAAAAGAAAAATCAAACTAAAGAAATGGAAAAATACACTTCAATTTCTAGAGGAAATAAAAATGTGCTTTCAGATAAGGCTGCACCTCCAGTTGCAGCTGCAGAAATTCTGTTGAAGGTCGAGGAACTAATACTGATGTCTCTAGAATATAAACATTATAGCAGAATATAAACATTATATACAGTACAACCAATTATTTTTAGGCTATGGTTTCCTAAGTTGGATTCCACTTTCTTTCCTCTGAAACTAATAATCTAATGGTGTTCTCCCACATTACCTGTATATAAACTACATTCAATAATCTGACATGCCAATTTGAGATAATGAAACAAGACACCACTGGTAAAACACAGGAAAGTGTGACCAGGCTTAGGCACGTACGTCAAACTTTACAACCCAGATAAAACCATCCTGACTACAGAAGTACACCAGCCATTTACCTCATTAGTATCCAGAGAATCTAAATATATTATGCTTTTTTTTTTTTTAAATCAATTAATTTGTACACAGAAGTCTAAAAAACAACTTACATGCCCAACTTTCAGCTACTTACTATGAAAGCAGATCTTAACATACTAATTACGTGTCTAAATTCTGGAATATGATGACAGGTTTGAAAAACAAAGAAGCATGTAAAGCTGGTCAGATTTGCCATCTCCTTTTCTGTAATCACGTCTGTATGCCAGACATCAAAGTACAACGTTTTCCACTGATACTGTGCAGTTAAGATATACTTGCACTGATGCCAAGATCTGACTTTGGGTCACAATTACCGCCCATTTTTGCTACACAATTAAAGCAAGAAATCCCACTTTCAATTACAATCTTTAAAAATCAACTAACCTTTCAAGATTGAAGCTGGAATGAAATAATTCAAAAGTCCCATGAGTCTGAGCTGAATTTAGTTGTTGGATTTAAACAGCTGGAGGGGAAAAGGGAGATATAGCTGAAGGAAGTATATTGAGAGCAGCAGGACTCCCTTTAGGAGAGAAACAGAGAACAGTTAGTAAAAGTAGGCAGGATAAATAATATGAGAACAGCGTCTATGAAATTAAAAATGGATAAAAGGAGAGAGCAGCAATAAGTCTTAATAGGAAGTGGAACAGAAAAAGCAAAGAGAAGCAAAGGAGTGGAACTGGTGATGGTCCAAGACTCTTATGAATTACCTCTAAAACGGTAGTTATTTGCCACTAATTAAAGTATAAAACACTGTGAGAGGTATGTTATTACAGAATAAAGTGACAAGTGGATTTGGGAGTCTCATATAAGGCTGAGACAGAGTCACTCAAACTACAGCAGTGAGTTCCTCAAGTGTTCTGACCATGCCTATGCTGATAAGGGTACTTTCCCTAAAACCTGCAATTGGACAGGACACAACAATAACTCAAAATACAAAGGATGGCAGGCAGTGGTACTGGTACTTTAGTCAGTATTACATTTATGCATATCTCATAGAACAAATTTACCTATATCTATGTCATTTCAAATTTATACTGACTACTGTGTCATTCAGCTTCTCAAGACCACACAGGTATCAAGCACTGTTCCATGCATTACAAGCACAGCTTCAGGCTTTAAATATATGAGACTTGTTCGTAAGCACTTATAAGAAAAAAAAGTATTTTCTAAAAACTACATGGAAGCACTAGTTCTAGGGAAGGTGCTACCTTCCTACTAAAGCATCAGGCTAAGATCCGTAATATGCACAGCCACTAAAAGCTAAGATCATCTAGGAATTAGTCTTGATAATTAAACCTTGCATAAAAAAATTTGTATTGCAGCTTCAGCTTGATATAACGTGCTTTCATTTTATTTCCTAAGCAATGATGTGAAGATTTCCAAACTTTTATGGTACACATCTCCTGCCACTCACTGGTTATGGGTTAGTATGGATAATAAGACTTGACTTGTCACCAAGGAAAGAGATTTTACAACCAGGGTACCTTCATGCTGGATAAGAGATAACACAATAGGAAAAGTACATGCATTACCTATATGCCAAATACAATATAAAAACCAGTTTAAGTCATTCTAATATTAACCAAGCAGTATTACTGAAATGCTGTCATTGCTACACAAAATTAAAAAAAAAAAGAGTATAATTTCCATGTGCTTTTATGTAAGACAGACATTATATCTCATTTATTAGTTATGTCATACTGCTAAATAGCTAGAAATTGTACAATATTAGTATTGCATATGTCCTTCATAGACCTGACTAATTCTTGAAAGAGAGGTTCCAGTACCAAATCCTAACCAAAGGGCTACAAAAGGTTCTTATCCACTTCTCTTCCATGATAGAAAAGAATCCAACTGGATTTGTGAAAGTTAGGAAAAGTTTATGGTCACTGGGGTCAGAACAAAATGCCAACCAACCAACTAAACAAACAAACAAACTCTGTCAGTGAAAAGGACATAGAGTTATTGTGGGAACTACTGGACTCAGCAAGTTGCATTTGTGCTCAGAGAGAAAGTGTATTATCACTCCATTTGTTTAGTATACTTCCTCAGACATTTCTAGGACAACTTCTAGAAATGCTCCCTCACTACGCAGTGTATGCTACATGGTAGAATATAAATGTAGAGCTTATGCAAATAGAAATTGTAATCATGCATTCTATAAAAGGCCAGTCATCACACTATCATTGCCTCACTGAAACAAATGAATCATTATTGCATAATTTCCTCTGAAGATAACAGGAAGTCTTGATCCTTACTTCAACACTGGATTTGGTTCAATGGCTTATTTAATTTTCTTATGAAATACTGTCATCATCCAGTGGTATATTTTGCTACTATATAAACTGCACGTTATGAAGATGAAAGCACTTCATTTAGTCAGCATTAAACATTTAGAATAAAACAAAGATTTATTATCTTGCAGTTATGCCAAACTATGTGGGGGTGAGTGAAGTAACATGAAATTAACTTGACAGAACTGTTGAGGATTTTGAGAACAAACAACACGCCGACATTTTATATGATGGAAATCTGAATAATTTTCTGTCTGAAAATGAAGACAGACTATATAAAAAAATACTGCTTGAGGATGCTTCATACCCTCATTCATACCTTCCATAAAGCATAAAGGGACATGACAAATATTTTGAAAGAAAACCTCACAGGTTTTTCAAACAAAAATATTTTTCACACAGTTTTTGTTGGGGGGAAAAAATATGTTTTCCATTTACAGAAGTCCACTACTTATTATGAACATATGACCAGGATCTACATAAAACTACGTAAATGAGTTGTTGACTTACGTGGTAACTTTTCAGTCTAACAAAATCGACTTTCATGGAGATGAACCTTTCTGAATTTCTGCTGAGATTTTTAATGTGCTCCACGAGGTCAGCACAAAACTTGTAGCCACCTTTGAGGACACAGAGAACCACAATATCATTGTCTCCAATGTCTTGCATAATATCTTTGGCCAATCGTTCTGTCCTGGGGCAAAAAAATTAAGGATAAAACAACATTAGATGCAGATTCTCTAAGGTTATGGTATGTTTTCCATGTGATTACAAAGAAACACTATGTATGCGGCTTGACTGACAGTATGTTTAAGGGTCTTGGCTGGGTTTGGAACAAGTTCATAGTAGGCAGAGAGTGATGGATGCAAGATGCAAAGCATGTGAATCAAACTGGTTAACCTTAAATTTTATAAAAAGTGTACTTTATCACTATTTCATACAGCAAAAAAGAAGAGGGCAAAGAGCTTAAGTGACTTGTTTGAGGTCAGACACATGAGAATAATCAAGGCTACGCCCCAATGAACCCGGAATTGTAGGTTTCCCATATCTGTCTTCTCTTTGACAATTCTGCATTGCAAACACATCGTGGCAGATGACTGAACCCAAAAGATACACTTTCTGTAACATCCCACCTCTTTCATGATTCCATTTTTCATTTTTATTTTTCCTCCAGCCATTTGCCACTACATAAATACATTGAGCTTCAGTAAAATCTACGTGTGCATATACCAGAGAAGAATAAGCTCTAAATTGAATATACTAGTTATGAACAAAAGCTGTCACTTCATTTTCACATCTTTGTACTTGTAAGGCTCAAGTAAATTCCATATATCAGATATTAGTGTTTTTTAGATTTAAAAAATAGAAGGTATCATTAGATCATCTTGTTTAACCTCATATACGTAACTCCTTTTACTCATGTAAGAATGAAGATTAGTAAATGACTTTCACTTACTTTACTGAAGATTAGTAAAGCAGCCTTTTATCATTTTTTATCAAGTCTGAAAATAATGGAGAAAACCTCCCATAAAAAAGAAACATTTCTGTGGTTTTTATATATATGTATATATTCTTCCTCAGATTGTCTGATAAGTTGAAATTTCAAAATCTTCCAAAGACCATTTTATATTCTAAAAGATTATGAAGTCCAGCATAGACAAAAATGTACTGATTTCAACTCCTAAATAAAAAAAAATACCATTTCTTTAACTTATAGTCTGTCGCTACCAATCTAGAGAATTTTCTCAAGTGCTGAAACCTTCTTCCTGTATGAAAACTTTGCATGATCACAATATATTCCGTTCTTCGTCCTTTTCCATTAGAACAGTGTCAGTCTCTTCTGCTTGAGTAAGAAAAAACAGTGGCATTCATTCTGCTGGAATACAAAAACACCACTGGAGAGCTGCTTACTTCAAACAGATTTATATTGAATCCTATGAGACCTGAAGTTGTAACGTATTTATTTTAAACAGAGGAATTAAAAGTCAGTTGACTCTAACCAAAAAGATGAAAAATTCAACACAATGGTAACGGAAAAGGCAATGAAAAAAAGCTTGTGTTTTAAAAACAAATAAAGGAGTCATAACTCTTCCTCATGATGAATGTCTACAATCTTCTTTCAGGGAGTTCCAACAAATGCAGTACTTGCAACTGGCTGTTTAAATGTGGTAGACAGAAAGCTGCAGGCTGAAAATGTCCCGTGAAATTCCATTTAGATATCCCCAGTAAATACGCTGTTGAAAATTACCATTTCCAGTTTGTAACTTTTTCGTAAGATTTTTAACAGCACATAAACTGTTAGTGAGCATGAATGCTGAGCTGGACTAGCACAAATACCAAAGCACCTCCAGATGCCTATGAGGATAGGTAGCACATGGGAACTACTACAAGGTAAGGAATGAGGGGTGATCAAGCTTTCCTGCTACTGCCTTCCAGACCTAGCACCTGGACTCAAACAGTCCCTGACACACTTTTTGGTTGTGCTGAATGGCAGAAGTCAATAGTGCAGTCAGGAATCATAAGGTTAATCGGCATTAACAACTTGCATTAGGCAGTTGCCAAAGTTGTACATAACTGAATGTTGGGTTTCTCCTTTTCATATTAAAAACACAGGACAGTTAAGAGTGCAAGTGAGACTGTTGAGTATGACTATATACAAAGCTTTGCACTTGCTCTTTCACCTGGAGTTCAGCTCTCTTGTAGTTTACATTCCAGTGCCAATTTCACTATGTATGATCACTCCCCTTTTTGTGGCACCCCTCTCATTCAATGCCCAAATCAGAAATTCGGTGAAAGAAATTAGACAGGGAGTTGCAAAAGCAATATATTACAAGTCTAGTATTTCCTAATATTAAAGCACTTTATCTTTCAAATGAAATAAAGTATTTTTTATAATTGCTAACATTATTTTAGGACAAATATTATATACACACTGTCTGTGGACGCCAGGCTTTATAAAGAAGAGTAATATTACTGACCAAAGAATTTATTTAGTAACATTTAAACAACACATACCTATCAACAATAATGCCATGTGGTATGAGCACATATTCCAGGTCTCCATAGTAGTGCTGAGGATATGTGAACAAATCCAGACTATATCCAGGCCAATTGTCTGAAATCTGAAATACCAAATAGTTCTGTTAAGAATATTTCATGGTGTTTTACAATATGTAACTGATATAAAATCAGTGTTCTAGTACACAATTCTAGTACAGTCTATTGGCTGAATTAATCATATGACATACTCTTTTCAACTCATAATTTACTGTTTCACTTCTATTAATTATTTTGCTTCTCAGTACACCTCAGAATTCTAATGCTACAGTTTTTTTTCCCACAGAATGTGGAAAGTTTCACCTGAAACTACAAACAACTAGACAGAATAAGTATTTAGTACCAAACTAGTGGCAAGACTAAGTTTCTTACTAATTTCAAATTGAAAAGGCAAACCCAGTAAGAGGGAGTTCTCCAATGGGAGATTCAGACAGTGGGATTAAAAGTCATAAAATCTTATACTGAAATTGAACATTTCTGGTTTAAAAGTATTTCAAAGTCACACATAAATAAATAAATATTCTATAGATGAAATAGCATGTAGGACAGGGAGAATGAACCACGGTTCATGGATAGTATCTGTAAAAATCAGTGGAAGATTGTACTTCTTGCCAAAGATCAGGTTCTTAATCTAGGTAAGTCATTAATGATAAGTGATTACAAAATGTTTACCTCTCAACTTATGATCAGCTGTATTTTACAGATTTAATGTATGTTAGTTCCATAAGTATTAGGATACAACAATCAGGAGATCCTGGACCATACAGTGGCAGTAGAGATTAAGTAGGCCAAAAATAAGCCAACAGGTAAAGGCTTCAGAAAGCTACAAAGATTGAAACTCGTCAGCACAAGAACTAAACAAACTGCAAATCAACAATTTTCAGAATTCCTTATGAAAGATGAGACCTGCAGGCTCACAAGGTATCTTGGAATCTTTACAAAGCTTTGCTTCAATATTGGTTCAGGATAAAAAGCAACACCTAATGGGTTTTCTTTACAATCGTGTTCCTCAAGTCACATATTCTTTACACTTTCTATAGCTTGCCCACATAAACCTTGAGTAGAGGGATAAATGGTGAGAAACTTGCCTTTGTAAAGCGTACATCTTAATGGCATGTCTGCTAAATATAATCTTTAGAGGCCTATCACTGAAATTAACCTCCACTTGCAATTTCATGTGGTAAAGCAATAAATCACGTCTCAAAAAACCTCAAAGCTAACAGAAGATATTTGATGTTGAGATGTTCCTCCATATCTAGTGTTCATGAACTTCAGCATAGCCCTGCCTCATGCTGTACTGAAACACCGTTCTGCCTCATGGATTTTCATTTGGCTGGGGTTTTTTTGCATATTCACTGACACCTACAGACACCTCAGCTGCTGTGTTTTCTTAATGTTGCCCAACTGCTTCTTTATCAAAAAAAGACGGTTTTGTTGGTAACTACCACTGAACACTTCCCCATAAAGAGCACGATTCAGAGATCACTGGACTTACACAAGCCTTGAAATTAATCAAAAGAAAAAAGTTACTTAGTTATGTTCCTCATTTCCATAGAAACATGAGATTATAAATATCCTCCTTGGCGAGGTTTTTAATTAGAGGCAAATCTTGTTCCAGAAACCCTGCTGCACAAGGCCTGGGAAGCCTATTTTCCCATCTCCATTTTCAGTAAATAGGGGTGACTGAAACTTTTTAAACATTTTGTAGCAATGAGCTGTCTGGCAGGGTTTCGTTCAAAAGTATCTTAAACACAAAAAGAAACAATTTCAGATAGTGCTTTAAATTGCCTCAGTACTGTAAACACCCACGAAGAACCCTTGTCAGTATTGCTTACTGATGCATCCTGGTCAAATTCCACATGCTTAGTGTGATGCGGAAGATTAAACTAAATGGATGGAAATTTCTTCAGAATTCATCCAAACCAACAGCTTTCACTTAGGCTACAGTAAGTCTTTATGAAACAGGATCAGGATGAAATGTTGATTCTCCTATCTAGCCTTCTGGTTGCCTTGAATAAAAGAACATAAACTGCATAACTTTGCAATAATACATAAGTTCTCAGTTACAAGTGCTCACTGACATTTGACCAGTAAGATTAAATTCACGTGTACTTTCTAATTAATTATCTTTCTAATATGATAAGCATATTTAATATTCTTCTTTCTTTTAAACAGGCACTTCCCAACATTAAGAAGTTGTCATTTACCCTAAAGCTATTCAGTGTTATGCAATAGGACAATTTTCAAGTAACTATAAATTTTTATGAGTATTCTGCTTATGAATTAAAAAAAAAAAAAGTGTGATTATCCTCAGTTTATAGCCAAGCATAAAAAAAATAGCCACTCCAAATGAAATTTTAAATTCAACCTCTACTTACTTCTGGATTTAGCACTTGAAAATCTGAAGGAAATATTTGTGATTGTTTCAATATAAAGACAGTATTCAACTGGATAAATAAATATATATACTGAATATATTGGTACATAGATGTGTAAAAAAAGTCCTACAGTGAAAGAAAGGTCACTTTTTAAAGTTCAGGCCTGGCATGCTCAAGCAGCCCAGCAGAAATTCTTCAGCAGGTCTTTAAGAAGTTGATGTGAATGCAGACAAAAAGGTATACAAATACATGGCAATACCCAGAAGCACTCCCTTGGGGCATTAAGAGAGAGGCTGGAGACATTCAACATCTTTGGAAGCACATTGCTAGTTTTGTTGTGAGCTCTTGGCACGGTACTCCAAAGCAACAATGATCTAGATTCTGCTTTGGTATAAAACAAGGGAGCAAGCATTAGGCAAAGTCTAGCTTTGTAATCTTAAATCATGCTGCACTGGCCTTAATTTTGGTTGGTTTGGGGTAGGGTGGGGGAGGTTGAGGAGCACATGTGTATAGTAAGCAGAAGAAATCAGTGCAGCAGAACACGGTTATGAGCATTCACCTCCTCCTTTGCAATATCCTCACGTTGCTTTGGTGCTAAACACAGACACCCACTTAAATAAATGTCATTCATTACACAGGTGCCAGTAGACGTGATTGATGCTAGTGGTTTCAGAGCTCCAACACACAGCAATGGGTTTCTTTGGCAGGGGATGGAAGGAAGGCTGGCATGGACAGGATGTAATACTGCCTACACAGAGTGCCCAGCTCTGCTCCACGATCTGGGTAGCAGTTCTGCAACTTGGCTAAAATCCCAATGCCACAATAAAATACATACATTCCTAAGGTGGTGGCAGTGATGGTATTTGCTCCACCCGAGAATCTGGTTTGTCACTCAGAGTAAGCTGCATATTTATTCTTTTTATAGAATCACAGAATAGTTTGGGTTGGAAGGGACCTTAAAAATCATCTAGTTCCAACCCCCTGCCATGGGCAGGGACACCTTCCACTAGACCAGGTTGCTCCAAGCCCCCTCGAGCCTGGCCTTGAACCGAGCCTGGCCTTGAACACTGCTATGGATGGAACAGCTGCAGCTTCTCCCGGCAACCTGTTCCAGTGCCTCACCACTCTCATAGCAAAGAACTTCTTCCTTATATCTAACCTAAAGATACACTTCTTCAATTTAAAGCCATTCCCCCTTGCCCTATCACTACACAATTTTTGCACCATTTATTCAGCCCCGCTGGTCCTCAAAGCGCACTGCCAAAGTTCGGGCTTTTTCCCACCACAGACGGACAAGAGGCAGCCTGACAGCGCGCTTTTACAGCACTCACGGGTCCTCGAAGGCCTCTAAGCGTTTTGGTGGGTGCCATCCCTGGGCACCCTGACCTCAAGCAACCTAGTGAAGCACACAGCCACCGCCGCCGCCCGGGGTAAC